CAACGAACCACAGTTACTCAATTAACCTCTGCATCAACGCTGACATTGTGTAAATAAATGAGGTAGTCGTACTGCTTGTGTATTGCATCCCATTTAACTGCATTCGTGACTTATAAGTGGTAAATAGAAACGAATGTGATTCATAACGTATATGCGCCGGTTTTAAATTGCATATTATGGCCAATCAATTATTCAGTACGATTCGAATACGGTAACCAGTTAATCGCGGATACACGACTACTAGTTTTCTTCTTAAAACGAAAGGAATAATAATGGTGCCTCTGTGGTGACTCAATTCGGTGTACGAACGTCCTTCTTTATCGCTACTACTAAATACTGCGTTTGCGGTATTCAATCTGTTCTGATCTAGCCAAAAATTAACATTTTTATTGAAAATAATCGGCTACCCCATGTGAAAGGATGAAATTTAGTAGCTACGTAAAAATGAGGATCAATAAAGTTTGCTAGTTTTGTTAATAAATTATGTTTATCTTGTCAATCTTGTGACTTAGCACTTAAGATGTATCCGTTAGATTCAATTATATTATTAATCGTTGCAAGACAACACCTTAGATTATTTACGGGTCCATAGGAATTAAAGGGTGTCCATTTGGCTAAAGTTTAATAACACGCCAACATTATGGATACGATAAGGCTATTAGGGGAGAACTAATTTTCGAAAAAATTTCATTAAGACCCTTTATAGGACGTAACACAACACATCCTTGTTCCATCATCCTAAATGAAATGAGTTGCGTCTAATTATGGTTTTAATATATAAATATCGCTATACGAAATTTATATTAGGTTATAATGCTAATAAATCTCGACATAATTGAAAACCCTTCAGGGCATAAGAAGAGGATGCTGTAACTCGTCAAAAGCGCGAATAACTGATTAAATTCTTGCGTTTATTGCGGTAATTTTCATTTCTTTTTTGTTGCGGAACCGCAATGACGGTCTAGCTTCTATTTTAACTCGACTTAGATACAAAATATCGCAATCTATATTGAAATTTAAGCTATAAACACGTTTTTTATTCATTTCAGCATGAAATAATCATTTGCATAATGCTTCTTTTATTAAGGACAACTTGGGACGGGCGAAAAACCCTTTTAAATATAATTCCAAAGAGCATCACTCACGAAATGCAAATTAACTTCTATTTGCCTTTGAGTGTAATAAGGCATTATTGTTATAATGTATGCAAAGTGCTTGAACTTTTATTTCGACCTTCTTGACACAAGCTTTGCGTGGAAATAGAATAAATATCTCCCTTTTTTCGTCGTTAATTAACACTGGAATTAAAGACCTGTACAATCCTTCAAATGTTGTCCTCGGTGGACTATAAAATTATTCACACTTGTAATTGCTGTTACTTTTTACTGACCTCCCAATTTGCGTACATTTATCATTACAAAATTAAATTATTTTACACCCTCTCTTTGCGTTTTATAATTGGCACCGGCATTAGAAATACCGTGAAAAAATCGCGAATGCTCACTGTACTTTTTAGGGACGCATAAATTATGAGAACAGTGCCAAGGACTACAGCGAGAAATATACGGTCGATGGAAATTTAAACAAAAAAGGTAATTATACCTTCTGTGTACTCCGTCCATTCTGTATAGGATGTTTCTCTTATCATGAGATCTGCATTTCCTTTAGTAACAGGAAACTCTACAATAATAAATAACTTCAAGTTGTTTCACAACAATATCCACTAATTTGATGATATGGTTGATTGACATAAACAGAACGACTTAATAATAGAAGACAATTATCAGACGAAAGTGTTTAAGTTACAATGGGCCACTTCTTCACTCGACTTTGATAGTGTATACCGAAAATAAATAATTTTTGTGAAATGGTGGATTTCCACAAAAAAAAACACTCTTTGCATATGGCATTGGAGCATAGAGACTAAGAACTTGCAACTTGCTAGTATAATAAAATTATAGTTTCCGTAGACACGTAAAATGCCCTTTCATCGAGAAATGGTGACAATTTTAGCAATCTGCCAATGTAGACGCAGGCGAAAGGTAATATAGACAGACGATGGAACAGTCTACAAGATTGTGTTCTGTGGGAACCAGTCATACACCTTATTATTCGTTTTTGAATTACAAAAACCTGAAAAGCAGCATGTGAAGAACCCCAAAAGCAGATTCCATATCTGAGCCTGGTTTCCACACATGCGTGTAAAAGAGTATCGCATTTGATAACAAAGACGGTTTAAGTGTGACACTAAATTTTGCCAATGAGGTTTCCAGCTTAGGGCTTCATCTAGTGTTATACCTAAGAATTTCACAGCATTTGATTCATGTACTTGATTGCCATCGATGCAAATAGAAGGAATATTTGTATTGTGGCGATTATGGAATTGAAGAAATTTTGTTTTATTTTCGTTTAAATAAAGGAAATTTTCACTGAACCAATTACTGATATTCCGCATGGTATGATTGCATTTATTTGCGATACGATTTTTATCTCTGTCTGAAACAACTATAGATGTATCATCAGCATATAGGGTGATGACAGCGTTTTCCTGTGCATATTGTATAAGATCATTTGTGTATAGAATAAACAAAATTGGAGCCAGAACTGTTCCCTGTGAAGTGCCTACATTAAGTTTCACAGTATTTGAATTTATGAAGTTATTGGTACCTTCGGAAGTGTATGTTAATGAGACGTATTGGTGCCTGTTGCACAAAAAGTTGTTCAACCATTTCAAGGGAATACCTCGAATACCGTCGGAGAATAGTTTTACAAGTAATCTATTATGGTTTAAGCAATTAAACGCCTTGGGTATGTCACACAACACTCCAATTGATGCTTCTTTTTTTTCAATTGACTGCAGTATTTTATCTAAGAAAAATTGGACGGCGGCGTCTGTGTAGATGTATTTGGTCTGAATCCAAACTGATTTCGACTAAGTACATTACATTTTTTTAAGAAACTTTCTAATCTATCTAAATAGCAATATTCTAGAATTTTTGAGAATACTGATGTTATGGCAATTGGTCTATAGTTACTTGCATCTTCTGCACAACCGCTTTTAAAAACCTGAATTACTTTTGCTAGTTTTAAGGCAACTGGGAACTCTTCAGTCGCGAGTTTACAATATGAGTTACAGGTTTCTCAATTACTTTAGAAACAAATTTAATTACCTAGGGAGCATTGGAGTTCATCAGGCCCTGCTGATCTTTTGTTTTTTATTTTTTTGTTTATAAGTGTTATCATTTCTGGTTAACAAAAGGGTGTTAGATACAAAGATTAGTTTAATTGCTTTGTTTGTATGTTTGGTACTTTTTGCAATTGTCTCATTAGGAATGTTTTTAAAGTGGTTATTGAAAGACTCTGCGACATCGTGGGGGTTGTCAATGTACACTGAACCATTTTTCAATTTCAAGTTTCTATTTTGGGAATCGTGTTTGCTTTTTATAAATGACCAGGTGCTTTTTACCATGTTATCTGAGTTAAGAATGGTGTTTTGGACATATGCATATAATAGAACTATCCACAGATTCATTTAATGTTGTTAAAACCCCAAAAAAATTTTTTAAATAGTGCCTAGGAAATGTTTCAATAATTTAAAATTATCCTTAGTAAGAGAGAGAATTTTTTTAATATGACTCTTTATAATTTTCTTTGTGTTTTCATATTCCAAATCTCATAATAATAATTTCAAGATCTTCTATATATTTTGACAAGCATATACATTTTACAGCTACTAGTGCACACCCATAATATCAAACAATCACTTCTGAAGAACTCCATGGTTCACACACACAACACAAGAACAAAGAATAATTTTCACATCGAAAGGCCAACGCATGAGTTCTACAAAAAATCTCCTAACTACGCAGGGAGTTATCTATATAATTTATTACCAGCCACTTTAGTAACCAATCAGCAAACTATAAAGTTCAGAAATGATCTAAAAGAGTTTCTAGTCAAAAACAGCCCTTATTCATTTCAGGAATTTGTTACGGCGTGCGCCTTATGGTACTACATGAAAAAATTGATTTTTTAGTAATAAACGTAGAAGAATTCCTTCCTGGGTGCAAGCCTCGACACCATAGCGAACCAAATAGCGAAAAGATAGAACAATCGCTCTTAAACATCTAGTAGCGATACAGCCGTAAGACGGACGGGCAGACGGGCGGGTGGACATTTTTTTATTTTGGTGGACCCGTGGTTTATAACAACATGCATAATCATCGATTAGAAATTGTTAGGTTATAAGACAGCCATCAGTGTTGAATATTACTACATAAGAGAAAAAGATTTGTTCTATAAAGTGATTATTTTTGTGTGTTGTGTAGTAGGTACCTATAGGAACAATCATAATTCATTACATTGGATCATTTCATTCATACCTTGGTATATTCAAACTTGGCTTGTATTGAATCCTTTTATCAACACTAGAGGTTGGTTTTCTTGAGGGGCATGTTGATTTTATTAATTTTCTTATGTCCTTTAATAAAAGGAAACATTTAGTCGAACATTCTCTCTATACAATTGCCTATGTCTTAACGTGTCGAATTTCGCTTTTTACTTTACTACTGTGTGGATATTAAGTGTAATTACACGAAAGTTTGCAAAGCAATTTTTAGAAAAGCAGATGAAATTTATTAAAATTGGAGACACAGAGGCTATTCCGAAATTTGGACCGCAATATCTTTACTGGATCCAAAGTTATGCGCATAAAACCTTTTGGTTTCCTTAGCATAAAATATTTCTTTAAAGCCGAATGAAACTAAGTACATATTTTGATTTTTTACTAATTTTTTCCAGTACCTACCACTTGTTATCTCAAAATTGTATGCGACTTGTTCTTTTCGAAAATTTGCATAAGTAATAATTTTCACTGCAAGAGAGCTTTCCTTAGCAACGTTTATTTTGGAAGGCCCAGTATTAATTTTAAAATGTTCTTTAACGTATGATCGTTATTTTTTTTTTTTGTATTGAGCTTCGACATGTCTATTACCTTCAAGTACGACATTAGGTTATTTATACGCGACATACTAATAAAATTATCTCGATAATTATCACTAATGTTGTAATTGCTTCTTATAAGTTCTAAATGGCCACATTCAAAAATGAAGTGTACTACCGTTAATTCGTGTCCACATCTGGCACATATAGGAACTGGTTCTCCCTTCAGTAGGTATGTATGCGTTACTGCAGTATGGCCTATTCTCAATCTAATTAATTTTGATATGTCTGTTCTAGTGAGTGCAGGATTATCCCATTTAGCTATGGTAGGTTTGATGTTTTTAAGGTGAGTATTACACATATCCCAATCATCTTGCCATTTGGAAACAGTTACACGATTATATTTATTTTTCAAATCTTTGTGTTTTATTTCAGGTACATCGACCGCATCCTGTTTGGTTGCTTCCAGGGCTACCTTGTCAGCTTTCTCATTACCCTGTATGCCCACATGACTGGGGACCCATAGTAAGGTAATATGCTTTCCTTGATTTTCTAAGTATACGATAGATGAATGACACCATTGTGTTATCGTATCATTGTCACAGTTTACTATCGATTTTATAACGGACAAGGAGTCTGTTACAATGCAGAAGTGTCGATAACCCAGTGCCATATCACAGTACTTCAGCGCTTGCCATACGGCATATTGTTCCGCATAGAAGACTGATGATAAATCAGGAAGACGCCAGTTATAGTGCTCACCCTGAACGACAATTGCACATCCTACGCCATCTTCAGTTTTAGAACCATCCGTGTATATGATATTGTGATGCTCTGTTACAAACATAGTTGTTTAATAATTTCTCTCTTCTATATTGCAGAGGCATGACGTTGGCCTCTATGTGGAGGCTGGTGCTCGGCGATGTAGGGAATGCACCTAAGCATAGTCTCAAAGCACGATTTTGAATTTTGTGAAGTTGTAACAATCGAGAGGATCTAGCTGAACCGTAGACAAAACATCCATAATCAATTTTCGATAATACGAGGGACTTGTATATGTTGATTAAAGTAGCCACATCGACGCCCCATTTTGTAGAGCACAAACATTTGACGAGGTTTAAAGCTCTATCACATTTCAATATCAAGTCGCTAATGTGCTTCTCCCAAGTTAGCTTACTATCCAATGTCATACCCAGAAACCTAACGTAATCCACGCATGGAATTGGGGTTTGATTAATCGTTATTACTCATAGATAAATAACACACCAATTTTTCTAATGTGTGTACTCTCGTTCAGTTATTGCCAAGCTTTAGTTTCCCGCTTTGCTCAATAAATCTGAACACCCTATATAACCAGGACAAAAGCATATTCGTGTTAACATTGCATTTCTGAAACTTATTTATACTCATAAACTAAGATACTTGGATTTCCATTAATAAATCGAACTGAGTATGAAAAATACGGTTGTTAATTTTTCAATTAAAGTGATTTGTAAGGCCCTGTATTTAAATATAGCTTCCGGAATAAATATAAATAATCATGAATAAAAACTTTGTCAAAATAAAAACAATTTGGAAATACCTAGCTTACAAAAATGACAAAATATTAAATTTGAAGTACCCCATCTTGAACACCCTGTATAATCGTACTATATGTACTTAGTATAGAAGAATACTGAGGATTAGCTGGATGGAGAGGGTAACACACGAAGCAGTCTTAGAGCTAGTACAGGAAAATAGGGAAATGTGGAAAACCGCACAGAGAGACTGGGAGGATTAGTACATCTAGGGGGCAAGAGAGGCTTTAGGTAGATAGACCTAATAGTTAGACACGTATGTAAGGGCAGTTATGTACAAATGAAAAGATTAGCGCACGATAGGAAAGGGTGGAAGATTGGGTCCAACCCAATCCTAGGGTTGTGGATTCCGAAAAGAAGAAGAAAAGTTACGTTTGTTGAGTATTATTACACATGCAAGTAATATCGAATTTTTGACGGTCCTTCTTACTTGTGTTTAGGTATTAAAGGTTTCTCTGTAAGATTCCTTAAATTGTTTGTGGAGCGTCAGGTTCAAATCTGTATTTCATTGATTCAACAGCTGAATAATATTGAAAATTAATACTGTCGGCTTTGTAATGGAATAAGAATATTAAATCATTGATTTGCGTTAGCAATTAATTGACAGATTAAGTAAAGCGTGGCGTGCAGTCAGTATTAATCGAAATGTAGTAGATATAGGTATAGGTGTTAAATTGTAAATACAGTTTTTAAGTCTTTTAAGTCATCTTCAAGTGTGGTTCATTTCCCTAAATGCCCTCTCCACCAGGGAGAACATTACCTACATCTTCGTTTGAGCAGTCAGTCTTTTATTTTTCATAAGAAAGTTGTTTTACTTTTCTCTGGAACGTTAATTCGGTATTCTAAATAAACCTGAAAATGAAGGAAAAGTGCAGAAGGTGCATAACCATTTATCCTTTGCTTGTTTGCTTGCACTTTAATGAGATATTCACTAGGGAGTTTCTTCTTTTAAAAATCGAGCTTGCAAAGTTAATAAGCAACAAAGTGGTGCAGTAGACATTTTCAATTCAACAAAGTTACTTTCCCATTTAACGCTTTTGTCCTAAAGCTGAAACGAGCTGGAAATTTATTAACTACGAAATTACTGCGTTATAAAAAATACTTCGGCTGTAAAATTTTATTCGACATAAACCCGTTTATTAAATCGCGGAGTGTAAATCGCAATGAGGTGCAAGTTTTTATTAGCAACACGCGCGTTTAAATGAATTACACCTCGATAACTTTATTTCCTCTGGCGTACCTTTAATTAAATATCCCGCGTTAGATCGGTGCAACCGATTCTGATAAAGCTGACGTAGGCGGAACCAATTTCCATGTATTCAGTATTGATTATAAAATACATTCGGTACTCAGTAACCCAGTTATAAAGCAAATAATCATACATGATTGACAGGCCGCATTTTTTACGTAGTTCTCCCTCTGCTTTAGAGCTTACTGTAAAGTCCTTGGAGTGGAGGAGACAAATCTTTCATTGAATGAAGGGTGTAATTACGCATTAGCTGTAGAGTTTACTCATGGGTCTGATATTATCCCTTCAATTTGTGAGACAACGTTATCGGAGAGAGGAGTCTCATATTCTTTTTTGCTGTAAAAATGTCTGGAAAACTTAACGATTTGTCAAATAAAATTGGTGGAAATGATACGAACGTTACCTATAGTATTAGCAGAAAGTGTTTTGTGACTAATGTCTTCCTAAGACCCCATAACCTATTGTGATAAACCGCACTTCACACGGTTTATTTAGTTTTCGCACCTGCATAATTGAGTATGGGAAGCGCTTTTAATGCACTAGATTTCCCTAGAAAATGTCACATTTAATCGTTTTGATATCCATCTTAATATTTAATTTCTTTGATACCTATAGTGGTGTATATTCTTACGAAGCTTTTTAGCTGCAGCAGTAAAGTTATTAACAAATTTCAGTGGGGACAGCAAAGAAAGTGTTACGGAATGGATAGATAATTATGGGATTATTTTAAACTCAGTTAGGCAAGTCGATTCCCATATGCTATTTCAAAAAATAAAAGTCTCAGGTAAGCTAGGAATTTTATCAAATACAGAAATTTGGTTTTTTTAAGGAACATTTAGAAGAACTTTTTCCAGAAAAGAGAACTCCTTCGCATTGACAGATAAATGCCTTTCGGTTTAAAGGGCGCTTCGTCTATAGTTTCCATAGGTGAATGAATACTGTAAGTACTTAGTGGATTACAGGGAATTAAATGTTTTGTGTATTTAGATGATATTGTAATTTACTCCCATGATTTAGCACGGAGAAAAGTTAGTAGATAGATTACGCAAGTACGATTTAAAATTAAGAGCCCAATAAGTGTGCATTTTTGCATAAAGAGGTTAATTATTTAGGTCATACTATTACGAGAGAAGGGTTAAAACCGGATGAAAAGAAAATAGAAGCGGTAAAGACGTATCCCGGACGAAAGACATCAAAGAATATTCAAGCATTTTTAGGATTAACAGGCTATTATCGTATATTTATTAAAGATTATTCAAAAATTGTCAAACCATTGACTAATTTGTTAAAAAAAAGACACAAAATTTGTTTGAATCGACTTTTGCCAGCATTCGTTTGATCGTGGTTGTTTAGTGTTAAAGATCCAGGACAGGATCCAGGATCTAGATTAATGCGTTGGAAGTTGAAATTATCAGAGTATGATTATGAGATTAGGAAGTGTTAAAACTAATGTAATCCAGTACTTGTTTTAAACTCGGACGAATACACTTATTCAAAATTTAGAGATTTTGTTCAAACCAATTTAGTTATTAATAATAACGTGCAAGAATGTAACGACGATTGTTTCAAATAATTATTCTTTGGCACACTGCCTTTCGCAGGATTTTGTTATGAATCAATTGGAATAGCTTTAGAGTTCAAGCAAAAATTTGATAAAGTTGACGAAATAAAGAACCAACAAAAATCAATTCACGAAGTAGCTATTCTAGATGTTGGAGATAGGACAATCTATTACTTGATTACGAAATTAAATTATTTTGATAAACCCTACTTATGAGGACTTATGGAATACAATTGTAAACCTTAGAGTGCAGGGTATAACAGGACGTACAATAGGGTAACCTTACAAACTACATTCGGAAAGACCAAACAGATTGTGACGAATATGTCCCATTCGCCATGTTTACTTTTACTGCATTTACTGAATTAGTAAATGGACATCCAGCAGAATTACCCAGTTCTATAACATCACCCCCAGAATTTCGCTATACACATTGCGATATACTGGGGAAATTGCTCGACGAAATTTAATTGATAAAAAATCAAAAAGTAAAGAATATTACGATAGGAAAAGTAACGTTGAAAATTTTCACGTTGGAGATACAGTTATGAAACCATAAAAAGAGAAAGAGAGTCACAGTGGTTAGGTCCACATAAGGTCATTTCGGTAGATTCTCCAGTAAATTGTACCATCAAAACGGGTAGAAGGTTAGTAAGAGTTCATAATAATAGATTAAAGCATTTTTATGATTAGATTACACTAAAATATGGCAAAATAAGTACAGTTTTATAAGAGTAAGGATATTGCATGAGTTAATAAGTTCAGGCAAAATATGTTAATTGTTGTTGGAATAACTTGGTGCAAGGAGAATTAATGTCACAATTAGTTTAAATTTAGATTCTATAGAGTATTAGAGAGCATTAGAGAATAAATAGAAAATGAATAGTATCTTTTTGCATAATTATTACAGCTAAATTAATTGCATTTATTACAGAGTGATAATCCTTTCTTCTATTTTCTTCACAATAATTGCCAAAACCAGCGCTGAAGGGGATTACAACATCAGCATTTCAACAAGTATACACCCATTTCGCCTGGTATTCATTACGAAACAAATAGGGACCATTATGATTTATATTCAATAAGTAATCATAATAAAAAGTTTGCATAGCTTGAATTATATTACGAAAAGACAGCCAGTAA